CGGGGCCTTGCCGCGGGCGGGAGGCCAGCGCGGCCTGCGGGGCCGCTCCGTGGCCGGGCCCTGCGGTTCGGTGCCTCCTGCCACGGACGCCCCGAGCTCCACTGGGCTCGCACCGCCTGAGGCGGTGGCCAGCGCTGCTGCCGCCTTTGGCCCGGCCCTGGCGGCGGCTGCGGCCTCCAAGCGGCCATCCCCCCGCCGGCTGCGGCGGTGATTCCTGTCTGCTCCCCAGGGGGCAAACCCACCCCGGGCTGAAGCGGCCTAGGTGGGAGACCCAGCTCGTCCTCGAGCAGCTGGTGCGATGCTTTCCTCTGCAACAACCTCCCCTTGCTGCAGGGCTGTAGGGTGAGCGTGTGTAGGGGTATCTGCGCCTCTCCCTCTCAGCCCTTGCTGCAGCCCTTGGTAAGAGTCGTCAAACCAAAGGTCTGCCCACCCGGCAGCCTGGCTTTGCTACTAGCCGAGAAGCCCATGCCCAAAAGAAGTTGTGAGAGCAAAATAAGCTACTGATGTCGTTTTGTATAAACTATTGCTAGCCCATCCCTTGTGTTTAGTAGTCTTGAATTTTCATTGATGGAAGAAGGATCTAGCTACTTCTTGAAGCGCTGTGAATTTTTAGCATCTGTGATGTCCAATGGAAAAGAGTTGCAGAGGTTAATGACAGGTTAATGGGCTGTAAAGATCCACCTCCTTTGGTTTGTTTGAAACCACTACCTGCTGGCTTCATGCAAGTCTCACGGTTGTCCTACCAGAAAAGAAAGTGAAAATGGATTGTGCTGCAGTTCCTCGTCTGTAGGGCTTGTTATATTGTCTTTCCTTGTTTCAACCACTCACACATACTGGTCTCTATTCTGTTTTTAACTGCTGCGTCTATGGAACTGATGAATATTCTTGATCATCCTTGTTGCCTTTATTTGGACATATTCCTACTGTAGCCATTTTCAGTTGAGGGGACAAGAGTGACAAATAATATTTGAGATGCAAATGAGACGTGCACTTATACGATGACATAATGATGCTTAGTTTTCTGTTGCTTTCCTAATAAATCCTATCACCACTTTTACTTCCTTGACTGCTTCTTCAGCCTTGGGCAGATGTTTTCATGGGTTACCCTCAGATAATCCCGAGATCTTGTTTGTGAGTGATAACGTTATCAGCTCAGAGAATGTCATTGTGTACAGAAAGTCAGGATTGTTTGGGTTTTTTTTTTCCCATTGTTTTGCCATGTGCGTTGCTTTACATTTACCCACTCTGAATTTCACCTTTACCTCACAGTTGCTCCATATCAGGAGGTTCTTCAGCAACCCTTCCCATAAGCCCTATCTCTACTACCTCGGGGCAATTTAGTATTGCTAACTCCTTAAAACACTGCTTGAATATAGCATATGCCTGTGAGAGGCACAGCATTCCTTGGAAACACCGGTCGGTCTTATTGCATGCATGCTTTGCAGTGCCTACATCTGCTTCCAGCATTTAATGGCTTTGGAGAGAGCCTACGAAGGAGGCTTGGAGTACGCTGCTGCCGCAAGAGCAATGCGTGTGCAATAGGATTTCATTCATCCTCTTGAGGACTTCTTGGATAAGCACAGGCAATGGGCCAGGTGAATTGTCATTGGGTGCATATGCCTGGCAACCCTGAAGTAAAACACTGGCTACCAGCCCAACTTGTAATAGAGTCTTTAGTTAATCTTCTTGCACAAACACAGTGCACACAAACAGTTGTAGACTCATTTCGTAATTGCACAGGAACTGACTAGTCCCATCACAACGTGGAGGAGAGTGCTTTTATCTCGAGGTGGAACACCCAGCAATCCGCTCTGTGAATGCCCTCCATGGACTGGGGATGAAATTTTAACAAAGTTGACTCATCCGTTTCTTCTAAAGTGGTTAAGTGAAGTGAAGTCTGATCAGTGATTACTAAAAAAAGTCTTTATAGTATTGTCAGACTATAAATAAAATAGAATAATCTTGTGTTCTCGTGAACATGGAAGATACCTGATAATCTCTCCGGTGAAACTCACACTGGTCCAGTGTATTTAAACAGAACAAACAACCCAATAGCAAGCGTGCCATAAGCCTGAGTCACTTTATCTGCTTTCCCAATCAGCATTCCCTTTCTGTTATTTGATTGCTTCGTCCCACCCTCCTCATGGATTATTATTGTCCAGTTCTCAACTTACATGAGCAGTTCATTAGGGTTGGGACTTTAATTATATTTTGCGCAATACTCTACAATTAATAAGTTAGAAGAGATAAGATTCTAGAGGGTTTTTGCAAGAGTCAAGGGTATGCCTTCATGTCTTTGGCAACAGAGTCCCTGTCCTGACACTTTGTCTGTCACCATCCTCCCTTACCCAAGGATGTCAGTGGAAAAGGTAATTTAAACAATGTAATCCAGAGCAAAAGGCAGGAAGTAATGTGTGCATGTGTTGGTATGTGTGGTCTCTGTCACGCAGGGTCTCCCACAGCTGGTAAGGCACAAGTAGAATAGGAGCTGCCAGTTTCTTTAGCAGCTGGAAGTCGCACTTGGGCAGGAAGAAAGTAAAAAACGAGGTGAACGGCAGAAACTGGAGTCTTTAGGCCATGGATGTAAGCTTTGTCCTCATCCCTTGTCTGTCTTGCCTTTTTTTAGAGAGAGGAGAAGCAGTTGGAGCTGACCCTGGAGGCGCTCATCAGTCAGGTGGCTGACCTGAAGAACTCCTTGGTCAGTTTCATCTACAAGCTGGAGAATGAGTATGACCGACTCACATGGTAAGGTGTCTCACAGAGCTGGGGGCACTGTCAATCACTGCTGAAGCTCTTCCAGACTCGGCTCAAATGACCACAAAATATAAATAAAAAACATTAGCCTATTGTCAGTAGGTTTAAATTTGCTTTTCACATTTCTGCTGGAGGAACCGCTACACATCTTCCACCAGAAAAACAGGTGAAATCCACTAGACTTGCATCTGCAGTGACTGGAAGCTTCTTGGACAAAGTATCTTAGACACCCACATACACCGTAAAATGAGCAATGGTTCTTTCTGCATTTCTTGACCTTTCTGGCTTTTTCTGGCTCTGGTATAAACTGGGCTCATGTTTTGCTGGTTCTGCATGTTTTACCAGACAGTTTGAGAGACTTGCAAGGTGGCATTCTCTTCCTGATGGAGCATAAAGATGTTACACAGCTTAATAAACTGTACAATATCTTAGGCAGTGTCTGCCACTGCAGCAAAGCTTCACAGGCAGTTAGCATTTATAGTTAATGTTGCAGAAGACAGCAGAGGTGATGAATCCCCCAGAGAGAGGAAGTTGAAGGGGACCTCCTTGACAAGATTATCAGTTATTTTTCTTTGTTATTGCTTAGTCTGGATAGCCAAGCTGTAAATATTGCCTCTCCTGGCTGTACTACTTAGGAGTTAAACTGTTTCTCAGACCTTGCTCTAGAATTGCACTGGGAGAGTTAGTGATAAGGAAAGCACTGCATCTGTGTATGTTACTGAAGTCCCAAACAACTGCCACTTCCAGTGGTACTGCTTGTAATGTCCTTGAGCTATTTGCAGTAGGGACTGGGATTTGTCCACACCTGCACATTCAGCCCTAGGTTTTACTGCTTACTGTCTGGACTAGACTGATTTGAGGGGTAATAGTGCTATTTCCTCACTTCTCAGCCATCTGAGTGAAGAATAGGTAAAAGCCATCTGTGTCATCCCTTTCCATGTTCTGTCCTCTTTATTATGGCCTCAAGTTGCAGCAAGGGAGATTTAGGTTAGATATTAGGAAAAATTTCTTTACTGAGAGGGTTGTCAGACATTGGAATAGGCTGCCCAGGGAAGTGGTTGAGTCACCATCCCTGGAGGTATTCAAAAAGCGAGTAGACAGGGTACTCCCGAACATGGTTTAGTGGGCATGGATGATGGTTGGACTCGATGATCTTGAAGGTCTTTTCCAACCTAAATGATTCTATGATTTGCTTTCCCAGGCCTTCAGTTCTGGACAGCTTTGCATTGCTCTCAGGGCAGCTGAACACCTTGAATAAAGTGCTAAAACATGAGAAGACCCCACTGTTGCGAAACCAGGTTATCATACCCCTAGTGCTGTCTCCAGACCGCGATGAGGAGATCATGGTAAGAAACTTCCCTCCCCTCTGAGTGTTGGCCCTGGAGTATCGGAAAGTGCTTGTGTATCTGCTCCAGCTTGCCATTCCTTGTGTTTGGCGTTCCTCAGCTCTGGGCGTAGAGAAAGAAAAGGTGATGAGTAGCTCTGCCTGGGAGCTGCTTTGCTGGGGGGCTTTCACCTACAAACACTTGCACTGGATACACTTTACAGGAGGTGTTCCTGTTCATAAATATGTTATTTTCATGATGTTGGGGCTGAAAGATACAGTGTCTTGTGTAACTGGGAGGTCTCCTTGCAAGCTCCTGGTATTCTCTGCTGTAGCTGTGCTGTTTCTGTCAGATACCTGCATCTAGATGTGCACTGTTTGTCATCTGACCAACATGGTTTGTGTTACAGAGCCTCCAGCATGCACTAGCAACATTTATTCTCTGCTTGAGTGAGAAAATATTTTAACTGATCATGGCCATGCTGGTAGGATTGCACTGTAGACCCCCATGGGTTTCTCTGACTAAACAGGCACAGTGCAAATTCTTAGACAAATTGTTGAAACTTCCTAATGCTCCCCAGATCAAGGTTTCCTCACAGCCTGCTACTAGCCTTGTTCCAGCACCATGGCCTGTGCTCTGGTCTGGAGCTGTCTGAGTGCTGGGCTGGAGGAGAGGGCTCTGAGTATGGCTTGTCCCACTATTGCAGCGGCAGACAGAGGGACGTGTGCCAGTGTTCAGCCATGAGGTAGTGCCTGACCATCTTCGAACTAAGCCTGACCCTGAGGTAGAGGAGCAGGAGAAGCAGCTGATCACAGATGCAGCTCGCATTAGCCCTGATGTGGCACAGGTAGGTGAAGAAGAGTTTGATACTTCTGCCTCTTAGTCCTAGGGTACAAGATGCCCTTTAACTCTGCTTCCTTCACCCTTCCATCTGACAGTTTTCTTTTTTGCTGTGTCCTTTTCTGTCTGAGATTTCTCCAGCTGCCCCTAGCTGAGGTTTGGCTTCCTCCACAGTTCCACAAACCAAGGGTATCCAGCCTGCTGGCTGTTCACAGGAGGTGACATCAGATCAGGCAGAGAAAGGCAAAGGCTATCCCAGCCCCATAGTACCCTCCTGCATGCATTAGCACTGAGCTCTCTAGGCTCTGCTACCAAAATGCTTATGTTTGGTTACACAGACCCTGGGAAGAGAAAGCTTGTTCATTTACCTTGCTGACTTGTACTGAGTTGGAGGTATCCTGGTGGTTTCTGATAGTTTTCATTTTGCAGAAGCAGATCCAAAGTCTGAACAAAATGTGCTCAAATCTGCTGGAGAAAATCAGTAAGGAGGAGCGTGAATCTGAAAGTGGAGGTACGTCACTGAGGTAGAAGTGGGGTACAAAGTCCAAGCAGCAGGCTTGAGAGAGTAGTGGCAAAATAGGTAAATCAGAGAGCCTGAAGCATGGGAAATGCAGATGAGCAGCACAGACGAAAGCATTCCAGAAGATGCAAGATTGGCTGTCCTGGAGCCCCTAATTTGAAAAAGAGTCCTGTGGGTATGATATGTTCTGCTTGTGTGACCTATGCATGGCAGGAAGGTCATTCCAACCCTTTGCCATATCCCCCTTCAAGGAGCTGGTAAGTATGTACCAAGAAAACATCCCAGTCAACTTGGATTAATAAAAATAGCAGTGAAAATGCAGTGGCAGTGAATGGGAAGCCCCTTAGCTATGTTCTGAATGAGTCCACAACATGTTTGTTGGCAGGCTTTTGTGTGATGTCCTCTAGATGATGGCTGCTTCAGACTCATGGTCAACCTTTTCAGGTTCTGACTCTGATGCTGGACATCCTTATTTTATTGGTCTCTGCCATCAGCTGTTCACTATTCCTGGGAGTGCTATGCACAACTCTCAAAGGTTGTGGGGTTTTGGGGGTTTTCTTGTCATCTTTGACACAGATAGTGTAAGCAAGGACCCAAGCACAGGTTCTGTCTGGTTTCCGGGATTAATAATATAACTGGGCAGGTGTGTGGTAGAAGAACTTGCAGACACCATGCTGCTCATAAGCCTCCAAAAGGGGATGTTGCCATTGTTTATCTAAAACACAGTGCTTGTTACCTGCCATAGGATTCAGCTTGGAAGAGCCTTTAGTGGGAACATTCTCTTTGGCATGGAGGAGTTGGCTCCCTCTATCCTCCCCTGAGCAGTATATGCCCTGCTCTCAGTGGAGAAGCTCTTGGATCACCACCATCCCTGGATTTTGCAGCTTCTTTGACCCTGCTGAGACTCTTGTAGGACAGCTTGTTAGAAACTGATCTCTATTACCTGCACCAAAATAGCAGAAAAGTAAATTCAGGACCAGCTATGCTACTTTTTAGATTTGATTGCTAAAATGCTCCAAAATCACTTCTTTTTCTACAGGTTTACGACAGAACAAGCAGACTTTCAACCCTGCAGATACCAATGCGCTGGTAGCAGCTGTGGCCTTTGGGAAAGGACTGTCAAACCGGAGACCTCCTGGCTCTGGAGGATCTGTCCAGTCAGGCCAACCCGGAGCTGGTGCCATCATTGCAGGTGCTTCAGGCATGCAGCAGGTCCCAATGTCAGGTGCACCAGCTCAGCAGCAGCCAATGCTGGCAGGAGTGCAGATGGCACAAGCAGGACAGCCAGGTAAATAAGTTGCATATTGGAGAGCAATTGAAATGCAGGGAGCAAGAAAGACAAATGCCGATGTAGAGATTCTTCCCCAGCCACCCTTTAGATATAATTGAGTAAGACATTCCTTTCTGGCCTTAATAACATGAGTCAGGTTGTAACAGTGGAGTAGTACCTGCTTAAAATGGGCTCAAAGTTAGAAATGGACCCCAGCCATCCAGCTTCAGCTTCTTAACTCACACTGCAATACCGTTTTAATAATAGACTTAGTGAACATAGGAATCAATATAGAGGGAGATCACAGTGTAGTTTTGGAGGGATCTATGCTCGGGGTTTTGTTGTCAATTTAAGTTGTAGGTAGGTAAAAAAGTGGAAAAGTTCTATTAGGGAAATAGATACATGATACGGTAGTTCTGTAAAGACATTAATTGGATTTTCAGTTGAGGCAAAAATACTAGAAAAGGAACAGAGAAACAGAGGATGTCATTAGGCCATTGTATAAATCCATTGGGCACCCACAGCTGCAACATTATGTGCAGTTCTGATCTCTTCTCTGCTACTGGGGGTAGCTTTAGGGTAGGGCAAAGAAAGTATGGAAGCCTATAAAATCCCAAATTGTATACAGCAGGTGAGAGGGGAATGATTGTTCATTGTTTCCCATGATACAGAAGGATCGATGAAAGTGCACCAATGAAAATATTGGCTTGTAGATTCAGAACAAAAGGGAGATACTTTTCTGGATACTAAATAATTACACTGTAGAGCACACTGCCAAGGGTGTGATAGGTAGATAAAGTTTATATGAGATGGAAAAGTAAGTAAGTAGGTAAATTTCTGGATGAAAAATCAGTCAACAGCTAATCCTGAAGATACCAGCTCTGACTCCCAAGTCCCTAAGCCTTAATGTGTTAGAAGCAGAGGGGGCATTCTGCAGAGGTATCACTGCAGGCTTGCCCTGTTCTGGTATTCCTCCTTAAGTGTCCTCTGCTCTCAGGAATGGGTTTGGCCTCAGGGACCTACAGGCCTAACCCTGTACTGTCATTCCTATGTTCACGTTAATTGAGATTTTGGGTATCGGATATCCTAATTGGTGTTTTCTTGCCTGTATAATGACTGTTGTTCAGAAATGAACTTGAGCAACAATATTAATCCTAAATTAATTATGTATTTATGTAAGAGAAAGTCATTTCCACTGTGATTTGGAAACAAAGAAGGCCCCTGTGATTTCTGGCTGCATGCCCACAAACACTGTCTCCAGCATGGGAGGACAGTCACTTCTGTACATCAAGGAGCGTGCGCTGGTAGCAAGAGCACTTGTCCAGCCTGTGTTACTGGGAAGTTCCCTTTTGATAAGAGCAGCTCTACTGGGTTTCACCAAAGGTCAGTCCCACTGTCCTGCTTTTGGTGGTGCCCATTGGTGAGGCTAAAAGAATATAGGAACAAAGTATATCCTGACAGCAGTTGTTGTTTAGGGATTTTAAGCCAGAGTTTGGTTTGAGACCAGTGGGTATAGCAGCCATCAATTTCTGCAGTTCCTTTCTGAATTACAATTTTGATTTCTACAACACCTATGGCAGTATGTCCCACAGCTTTATTGCATGTTTTGCTTAAAAAAATTTCCTTTTTATGTTTAAATCTTTTGCCTGGTAATTTTATTGCATGTTTCCTTTTTAGCCATGTTGTGAGAAACGGCAAATGGTCATTCCTCAGTTACTTTCCCCATACTAGTTTTCATTTTCTGGAAGTCTGTCATGTCCTCCTCCCTTTGTCCATTTTTTTTTTTCCCCTAGCTAATGAGTCCTATTCTGTTTAATATGTCTTTGTGTGAAAATTACAAGATATCTTGGATCACCCTCGTCACTCTTACCTGCACCTTTTCTGTTTGTTTTCAAGACTGGGAACACTAGAACCACTCACATTATTCCAAATGTGGGTGAACCATACAGTCCTATTCACTCTTCCTTTTGGAGTAATGTCTAACTGTATTTGTCTACTGATTGTTAGCACTGAAGTGATATCAGATTGCCTGTCAATTCATTGCAGGCAATGACCCATTTTGGATATGTTTGAGAAAGTTTAATAATCTTTATTCTTTTAGCCATTTGCTCATAAAATCTTTTCTTGTCCTGCTGCACTACAGTTTTAATTTTCAGAAGCTGTCCTTTTTTTCTGTCTAATTTGAACACACATTCCACTTTCTGAAGGAGTGTTCTTTGAATATCCCTCTGTGCTGCTCTTTAATCACTGTCTTTTTGTTTTTTTCTGATCATCTTAGTTTTGTCTAGCACTGTACACTTATTGTAAGCTGCTAGTACAGTGTCTTTGAACTCACTCCCATGTGTGATTGCTATCAGCAAAGAGTAATAACGCCCAAGAGGTGGATGTAGTTAAGAGAAATTAAGGGATCTGAGAGAGGCTTAGTAACTGAAATGTACACTCTGACTATAAATAATGCTACATGGAAGGGGATACAGGCTCTTGTGTTTGCCTCTCTGAAATGGAAGTGGAAATCAGTCTGGGTACTTCTGTGAGTGCTGCTGCCAGCAACTTCTGTGAGATTGAACAAGTCCCATACTCCTGTAGGAGCCTCCTGACAAAGAGTAGGTCTTGTTTAAGATAGAACAAGGATAGAATTTGAGGGGATAGCAGGGGGACACAGGAACCGTCAAGGAGATTTCTCAACAGAGAGAAATGCCAATTTGTAGAAGAAATTGATTGTGTGGGGTCAGAAGCTGGAAGATGCTGTAGCAGGTAAGCCTAGTGTGGTACCTGGAGTGGAACAGAAAAAGCCCAGACAGGGCTGTTGTGAGTCTTGCATGCTCCTGAGCAAATGACCTCTCATATAGCCAATTTTGCACTGCTTTTTCTTTTTTCTCTCTTCAGGAAAAATGCCAAGTGGCATAAAAACAAACATCAAATCTGCCTCAATGCATCCATATCAGAGATGAGCTGAGATGAATGAGACCCAGGGAACAGCAGTTACCAGCATTGTTCCTGCTGCAGCCACCATACCTGGATTCCTTCTAGGATTTCCAAGCCCCTTCACATATCCGCACACCGTATCTAGGGAGATAGGGGTTATGAGGCTCTTCCCTGTGTTTTATTTAGTGCTGTGTGGCTGTGTGGAGCTGCTAGTGGCCATGTCTCCTGGACACAAGTACTTCTCTGTTCAGTCAGAGCAGAGGACTGTGCTTCTGTTATTGATCCCATCTTCTTCAGGTCTGGCCTGGAGGACAACTACCTTTTCCTGATACAGAACCTGAAGAACTGCATGGAGCACTCTGCTCCTTGTTTCTGCTTGTTCACTTGGGATGTTCTTTCTTTACTCCCTCTTGTTGAATAAAGACCTTGCTATGCACACTGAGACACTGGTGTCCATCTCTCGGATCATAAGGACTCTCATTTCCCTTTGGGTAAGGCTACAGAGCACTCCAATCTAAAATACACAGAAAATGTTGGAGGCTGAGTGCTGGAGCTGTAGGCTTATGCTTAAAGAGCTGTTATAAAATGAGTCAGCAGGGTACAAACATAAGCAGTAAACATCTTGTTCATTGTAAACCCATTATGACTATTTCCCAGAAAGCAAAATACTGGGAAAGACTATTACAAGGCCCACAGCAAGAAGGCAGCATTTCAGGACCAGAAGCACAGAGCTTTTGCATTCTGATGCTGCTGCAAATCCCAGCTGGATCTGATTTCACTTCCATAGTTCTCTGCTTCTGTGTTTCCTATCAAGTTTCTTAGCTACTTCAGGATTAATTTGTCACTTCAGAGAGGTATTTCAGTCTGCTCAGGACCATGGCACTTCTGAATTGGCTAGGCTTTGAGGTCTGGCCCATTTCTTTTTGGAACTGGGAGTTATGAAGCCATCCCTGTTCTACATTCTGCCCTTGAGCTGTAACAATAACAATCTGCCTAATGAAAGATTCCTCTGAGAATAAAGGGTGGGGACGCATGCCACCGAGCATGTCAGTACATACAGCACTATCCTAAAGACAACTGTTGTGCTTCTTGCTGCTCTTGCCTGGACTTCCCTTTTGACTTGCGGTGAAAGCCAGCACTGTATTTTACTCAACAGCATCTGTCAGCAATCTTATGGGTGAGGAAATCTCCACTCAGCAGATACAGCCTGCAGCTGCTGCTGCACTGCTTGCCTCTGAACTAATCAGATCCAGCTTATTTGTGGAGGCCGTGGGCCGTTCTCCCAAAACAAAACCTTCCATAAAGCTGTGACTAGGGCTGTTATTGACCAATTTTGATGTGCAGGACCTTGAAAAGCACTGAGCTGGGAAGTAGAAAGTTGATCTGGATGCACAAGCAGCTTATACGATAAGCAAAGCTGCTCCACTATGAATGAGCCCAGTGACGTGTCTGCAATGGCACCAGCCCAGCCAGACTGATGGGATTGCTTTTTGCTCCTAATGAACGTAGAGCTCCTGGCTCTCTTGGGAGCAGGGAGCTGGTGTGAAGGCAGGGGCATGCTGCTGGCTCCACTGTGAGGGTTTTGTGCAATGCCTGGAGCCTGATGGCAGGAGAGTCAGAGCCTCCAGGGCTATGCCCTGTGATGGGCTGCACCATGGGGACAGCTGTTCCCTGCTCTGTCTCATGTCCCTGCTTTGGTTGGGAAGGAAGGCAGAAAACTGTCAGAGGAACATGTGTCAGATCCCTGGCACTCATCATCCATGGAGCCTCAGCTCTAAGATGCTGCTTCAACTTCGTCCCCCCACACTGCCTTCCTTATAAAGCTAAAATGTCTCAGTGCAGGGAGCACTGGGGCCAGCGGCTGGCAGGGGTGATTCAGGCAGCCTGGGACGCAGGCGGAGCATGGCTGCCTGCTACCCAGCTAACCTGGCTCTCCTGAAAACACACCCAGTGGGGCAGGCCAGACCTTTCACACACTTGGACGGGAGGAAGGGAAATACAGGCAGGGTTTTTTTCCATAGATTATAGAGCTGGGGTGGCCAGCTAGGCTCGCCAGCGTAACTTCCTGCATGACACAGGCTGCCCTGAATTAGTTCTTGTGTAAATTAGAGCACTGTAGTTAGGAAAACAGTTGATCTTGAACTGCTGTGTCTCTACTACAGTGGCTGGTAGATTGTTCTAAAGGTTAATTTTCCTACTGCACCTGATATTGAGGCTGCATTTCTTTAATTCCCTTCAAGTTGCTGGATCTTCTCAGCCAGGGAGTGAGCCCCTGAGTTGTTAGTCTCAGAGAGAGGAGTCGGATATTACGACCAAGCTTTCCTGATCCTTTTTTACGATAAACTGAACTGATGAAAGTCCCTTTTCCTTTAAGGCATATTTTCCATTTTCCACTTCTTGGCTCTCGTCCAAATCTTATGCATTTGTGTCCTTTGGGACACTGGACTAGGACACACTATTCTAATTGTGGGAATGGGAATTTCAAATGCAGAGCAACTTTAACTTCTTATCCAGTCGCTGCCAGTGCTTGAATGTTTAAACAGGGAACAGGAACAGGCCTTTTACCCTGTCACTGTGGAAATTCATGGTCCACTGCTTGTCACCATGGCCTGCAAGTCCAACAGGTTAACCATTCCCGGTGCACTGTGTCAGAATAAAAGCACAGCCCTGCTGGGTCAGAGCAAAGGCTCTGTCTGTGCCCCGCCACAGCAGGGGCCAAGCAGGCGATCGGGGAAGCGCACACTCCCTGCAAGCATGGGATGTGCTGCCATGCTGAGCCCTCAAGGGTTTTTTCCCTGCCTTGTCCAATCCCAGGATAATTTCGGCAGAGAGGAGGCTCAGCCTCAGCACAGCAGGCGCTGCTAGGCTGTCTGGTCCCCAGCTCGGGCGCGGGAGTGTGATGGAGAGCATCGGCACTGGTTTATTCTGGCCCCCCAAGTCCCCGCATCCCCCCCAGGTCCTCTGCATCTAGTGCAGAGGATGGACACCTTTTGCTGCGTGGCCCTGCTGCCCCAGGGATCCCAAAGTCTCCAGATCACTGACATGCCCCCAGCTCCCAGGACAGCATGCTTTACTCATCACGACTTCGTTTCCATCCAGGTCATCAGGTTTACACTATCTAGCAGTCCCTGCTAGAAACACACCCTCGGTGGCAATTCCCTGGGGAGCATCTCCTCTGCTGCCTCACACTTGGCCAGGTCGCTCTCCGATATTTAAGAGTATACAGTGCCACAAAAATTATCATGTTAGTTTGGCACGTTTTTTTGTCTGTAATCCCTGATGATTGGTATTTATATTTCTCTGCTTTCAGTCTTTATTGATACGATCGCATATTTTTCAGTCATTATTTTGCATGGGATGACTGTCGAGCAGACACACCTGTTTACAAGGCCATCCTGTTTACTTTTTGGCATAACATCAGCTTGCTTGTTCTCTGGAGCTTCTCCAGGCTTCCTCGTCTTACTGAATGTCAGTGTTAATTGTTTGGATTTTTAAAAACAAATTTTTAAATACAGGTTGTTTGGGTTTTTTTTAATTTTGAGGTGCAGGATATCCAGACTGCTGAGTTCTTAACACTGCCGTATGCAACTGTTGTTTAACATCTTCCCGAGTTACTGTTAGAGTGGAAAGCGTTTCACCCTCGTGACAGGAATGCTTCATCTGGCTTCCTCCCAAATGCAGGAGCAAGATATTTATTGCCTTTCCTTCCTGCCCCGCTATCTGCAGTCCCACCGTTCCCAGCCTGTATCATGCATCCAGCTGTGCTGGGTGGTGCCCACAGCCTGTCCTACTGCTGCCGTGGGCCAGTTTGCCTCTGGAAGCCATGAAGCTCAGTGTGGTGCCACCACTTCCCTGTATCTCTCTGCATTGACTGATCAGCACGACTAACATCTGCCGCATGTTTGTTCTCTTGCCCCATCCCCAAGCAGAGATGTGCATGCAGGTGTCTTCTTTTGTTTAAAAAAAACAACCACCAAAACCCAGTTTTGTTTGTTTGTTTAACCTACAGATCTTTTAAGTGGGTGTCATTAAGCCTTTACAGTGGAGGTCTAGTACATAAGGTGTGAGGGGAGACGTGACTGAAAAGATCAGGGGGACAGCTGAGGGAGGGGAACTTCTGCAGTTCTCCACTCTCCGTACTAAGAGTGGAAGGCAGCCCTCCGCAACTAAGGCAGGAAGGCAGGGTCTCGGCATGGACTCGGGGCCTGGTTTCCATTCTCCTGCTATGACCTTTCTGACAGAAACGTCTTGGACCAAAGGAGAAGTCTTCTGATGGTTCGGTTGAGGGACCCTGAGCACTTTTTTATGCTAAGAAGCAACATAATGGAGTGTGTGCTGCCAAAAGGCAGCAGGCCAAGTTTTGCATCTGCATAGCTCCCAAAGCAGCATCACCTGCAGCTCACAGAGGATAGACAAACACATGGAAACAGCAGCAAAACATGCCTCTGAACCGGTCATTGAAAAGCTCAGAAACTGCTTGAAAGTCAAAGGCACAAATGGAGGGAAAATGGCCGAGTGGTGGAAGCAGAAACCCCAGGTTGGCTCTCTGTTTTCCCCTGGGGTCCCCCAAAGAGCTTGGTGGCCCCAGGAGAGCCAGAGCATGTCTATGTGACAACTGGTGCCTACAAATGAATATACAGGCGCTTTGGAAAAATCCCATGGAGCTCCTCCTTCCAACCGAGTGCAATAAATCTTCATCTATCTTAGAAGTGAAATGTTACCACTTTGTACCTCACGTAGATGCTGTGGTAGTAAAAGTACACGCTCAAGAGATGGGATGTTTGGATGTATTTGTAATATATGCCATAAAAATAGTTCAGGCTGATGTGACTCCACGGTTTATTTATTGTCCTTATGATACTGCAGCTCTCTGGCTGGATCCATGAAAATTGCCTGGGTGGAAACCTGCCCTTAGAAATTAATGAAAACCTTCTGCAATTTGCTCAGG